AACCATTGCTGTTTGATAATAGCCTTAAAACACCCAGAATTACTTACCTGCAAGCCCCATTCCCGATAGCCCCTGTTGACAGTCTGAATAAGTTTACTGCCCTTTTGTTGTACTTTACCTTCAAAACAAACTGATTGAACCATCAATAGCTCGTGGAAGCTGACAGAGGCATGTCATCTGGACTAGCCCTTGTGATTGCAGGTTATCTGGGGGAGTTAACCTTCCCGCATTGTTAACTGAAATGTTTTATGTACTATGCAACTTTAGGATACGGCTGTGATAACCCCAGTAACTAAGTAATACATCACAGTAAAGAGATTTTGGTGCAACAAATAACCCTGGATTAAATTTACAAGGGTCGAATTGATATTGTAAAAGCCTTCATTCTGTGGCTTTGGGAATACTCGGTTGTATTTTTATGGCAAACTTGTATTATACTCGGGATTGAAGCTGCAGCTTTTGACACCCTGACATGACCTAGAACAAAGGGAAATAGATCTCTCAAGACTGGGATGGGACAGGCAGGCAGAAAGCCCACTGACTTATCACTTGGCAATAATGTTTGGAGCTAGTTCCAAACCACCCAGGGGCAGGGAGATCAGGTGGATGTGACTACCTTCGGAGCGCTGTGTACCACAGACACTGGGGTAGGGCAGACCGTGAGCAGAATTGGGAGGGAGATTCTTCACCTTACCAACCTCATAATTCCAAAACTATTATGCATCGTGGTGTTATTTTCACTTGGACAGTGGTTTGCGCACGATCCGTGGCATCAGCCACCCCAAGAACTTATTGCAAATGGACACTCCCGGCCCTAGGGGATCAGAAATTCTGGGGGTGGGGTCCTGTGATCTGTTTCAACATGCCGTCCAGGGGATGCTGATGCCCTCTTAAGTTTGAGAGTGACTGTGCTGGAATATAAGCTGCTTGAGAGCAGGGGCCTTGTCTGTTTCACACCTCACCTTATTCTTGGCACCTGGCATGGTTTGTGACAGGTGGTAGCAGCTCGCTAATTATTGATTGTGTGAGTGAATGTATGAAGCCATCTCTAAGGGAGGAACTTTGGAACCTGGGCTGAGTCTCAGGCTGACTTATTTGGAGGCAAGCCTTCCTGGTGTCCCTCAAACCTCTCTAAGCACCTACCACCTAGAAACCCCAGGCCGGCCGGTCAGGATGGGAGTCAAGTCAGCCCTAGTTTCAGGGATGACTGGCAGCCTATTTCATGGGCTGTTTCTTCGATTGTTTAAGATGAGTGCTCTGAAAACAGCAGCTCTTTGTCATCTAAAATTTTTAACTAGCTTAAAAGCCAGCACCTCTCTCTCTCTCCTTTGATTTCAGGGCTGTGATCCAAAGTGGGGCAAAATGACAACGTGCTGTCTGTTGTCATCGTGGTTCCTGCCAGCCCCGTGAAGACATCTTTCATTCCATCATTAAACATTGGCTGATTTTCTAATACTGATGTTTTCTTCACCTGAATATTCATCTTTTCCCACCCTACACTTAGTGGGTGTCTTTACTCCTCTGAGCGTCACTCCTGACATATTGTTTCCGTCTGTAGATGTCTTTATTTGAAAGAATCTGTTGTCATCAAGACTTTGCTGCTATACGCAGAAGATGGAAGTTTTCTTTGACACTGACTGAGGCCAGTGGGAGTTCTGCTGGAGGATAGAAGTTCATTTGAGGCTTCATGAAACTTTCTGATTTTGGATAAGTTTAGAGGGCATTTGGAAAGGCAAGGGAGAGGCTCAGGGAGAAGTTGGAAAGATGATCGTAGATTGAGACCAGGGAGGAAGCTGGAAGTAGATAGTCAAATTTCCAGAACCTCAGATGTTGGGGTGGCCACTTTTGGGGAAGAAAAGTATACCTCAAAAGAACTCAGAGTATTTTCACTTTAAGGAGTATTTCAACTAGAAGCCTCTATGCTGTTTTCTCTGACATTTCAATGATCAGCCAAATCTTTGGGCAAGTATATGGAGGCCACCTGGTGATGTAAGACCCTCTTATGAAGGTGGGAGCTGGCCTTGGGAACCCAATGCTCCTGTGAGGAGGGGGGCATGCTATAACACCCCAGGTAACATTTGCACTGAGAAAAAGCTCAGTGCTTAAGATTGCTTTAGGGTCATCAGGGAAATCCAAATCAAAACCTCAATGAGATACCACCTCACACCAGTCAGAATGGCTAAAATTAACAAGTCAGGAAACGACAGATGTTGG